TCTAATTTCATAGCTTTCAGAAAGGTTTTTACTAAGCATTTCATATCAACTCTATTAAACTATAATGGGTATAGTTTGGGATAACCCTCTAGACAGTTTTCACCAAATCAGATTTGATGAATAAATATGTATAAACTATGGCAGATTTAGTTTATGTTATATATTTTCTCAGGAGTATAAAGTACTATTATTCAAGGTTAATTATTGTTTTATACTGTTTCTCGCTAGTAAACTAGATTATACAGAATTGTGAGGCTCTACTTCAATACTGTACTCTTAGGTGTACAGTGATAAATCCTTTTAGTATAACCAGAGTCTCCTGGAGGGAGAGCGTGAGATTTGTGAATAGATCTATTCGGGACTGACAATCCCACACCAGAACTGCTAGCTACAGTTAGGCAGACATGCCTGTGGTGAACAAATGTCATTTAGCTTAACGCCTGAAGAACGTTATAAAAGTCTCTAAGTCATATCAAGTATGGTTATACGACTCGCAAATAAGTATAAACTAACTTTGGTTTACGGACTCTAATCTTCATTTGTTTCATTTTGAGTGATAAAACTACTTTTATGTATGCTAATAGTAATCGGGGATTTCTAAACTAACATCTCTACCTCTAGGACAGATAACCTGCTTTTAGGGAAAATATAGGATTTTCCCAGGATAACACTGACATTTCTAAAACTGATGATTTATTTTCTACTAATGGACGTTCGTATTCATTCCATGACTCCTTGGATTGTGCGTATTTAGTACGAACCGGGAAGTCATGGAAGGAATGGGTTTTTCAAGCATGCTTTCATAAGAAAATATAGGATTTTCTTGAGAAACACTCTTCAAAAGAATCAAAGAACATTTTTCCATCAAAACTAAATGCTTATGAACTCACCAGCTTTATGCTGATATTCTTTCAAAACTGCTTGTATTCTCAGGGAATTAGTAGACAGGTACTTCCAGGCTTTTGGAGAAGTCGGCGCGTTAGAGTCACGTCTTTCGATTTTACTTTTGTTATGAATAAAACCTTGTATTAAAACAATGTAAACCTTTTTCATATATGTATTCAATGTTTGGTTGTGTTTATTATGCTTGCTATGATACAACTGTTGTGATACTACGCATGACGTCAACCACCCCCGAACGTTTCCGCCGTTCCGGTTTGGGGGTGTCACACTCCTCTTCCTATTGGTTGTTTAATTTTTTTTTTAATTCCAACGGCTATATAACCGTTAATATATATATATATATATATATATATATATATATATATATATATATATATATATATATTCTTTTATCACACTATGAATACCACAACATCCAACCATTTTTTTAACACATACCTTCTTATTCTCTCCAAAAAATATTAATCAAAATGTCATCATCTTCATCATCCGATTCGACGGCTCTAGAGGAGGCTAAGTTTATCGGTTCCGTCATGGCGAAAACGACTGCATACTTTCAAAACCGACTAGGCGAAACATCACGTCCACGATCTAAACCAAGAAAGTCGCGGTTGCATAGAAATCGCGAAGCCGGACACGATCGTCTTATAGAAGATTACTTTGCAGACGACGCCATCTACGTTGTAAAGTTTCGACGTCGGTTCCGGATGAGGAAGGAACTATTCTTACGTATTGTTGGCGATTTGGAAGGCCGCTTTCCATATTTCTAATGGAAAATGGATGCGAGACGGATAAAAGGTTTCTCTCCAATTCAAAAATGCACGACTGCAATTCGTCAGTTAGCATACGGCATGGGCGCAGACAAATGGGACGAGTATTTTAGGATGTCAGAGCATACCGTGTGGGAGTGTGTGTACAAGTTATGCAAAGCGATCTGTTTGGTTTATGGGCAACGATATTTAACCAAACCAACTATGAACGATATCCACCAATTGTACACGGTGCATGAAGGCAAGCATAGATTCCCTGGAATGTTTGGTAGTATCTTGCATGCATTGGGGTTGGTCATTATGCCCCAATGCATGGCGTGGTCAGTACATGAGAGGCGACCACAAAGAGCCGACGATCGTTCTAGAGGCTATCACATCACATGATCTTTGGATATGGCATGCATTCTTTGGTCCACCTGGTGCAAACAATGACATCAATGTGCTAGACCAGTCGCCGATATTCAACGATATCTACCTTGGAAAGTCGCACGATGTACCTTTTCAAGCACATGGGGTAGCATATAAACGTGTATACTATCTTACTGACAATATATGTCCTCCCTTGTCTGTTTTTGTGAAATCGTTTACATGTCCTAACGACCCGAAAAGGAAAAAGTTTAAAGAGGCGCAAGAGTCAACTAGGAAGGATGTGGAGCGAACATTTGGTGTACTTAAGAGACGGTGGCAAGTACTAGCAGCCGGGGCAAGGTCATATGAAGTGAAAAGGTTACAACACGTAATGTATGCATGTATCATATTGCATAATATGATTCTTGAAGACGAAGGAAGAGCGATATGTCGGTACAACGAAAATGAAGTTTTGCCAAATGTCGAAGGAGTAGTCGTTGGTACACAAGAGTATAGGGCAAATAAAAGAGAAGTACACAATCGCGACATTCATCATGCCCTTCGTGTTGATTTGGTGGAGCACGTTTATAGGACTCATATTCAGCCGACGATAGAGTTTTCTCACGATGATTTGTTTGACGAATCAGATGAGGATTCTGATATGTTCGTCGAGAGCGAAGATTCCGATGGCGAGAGTGACGTTCGGGAGAATGATGAAGACGATGAGGTCGATGACGAGGACGATAATTCCGAGTGACGTATTTTGTTTTTTTTCAAATTAGGATATTAATTATGTTTTCTATGTTGTGGTTTGTTTGATTTTTTGTTTGCGTTTTTTTTTTAATTTTCTACTTATTTAAATATTAGGTTTAATGTAATTTTTTATTTTAATTAATGAAATTCTTTTTATTTTTAATTAAATTTTATGTTTATTATTAATTTAAAAATTATAAATCATAAAAAAGAATTAATTTTATTTAAAAAAATAAAAAAACAAAATAGTGATGGAAGTTTCTCACTCATTCCTTGGGTTTAGAAGAGGGAAAGAAAAGTGAGAAAAATAGTGATGTGACACACAAAAAATAAGGGAAGTTTCCCTCCCACTCCCTCTAGTGTAATCTAAGAATAGAGAAAAGAGAAGAGAAGATAGGGTTAAACAATAGAAGTGGACTAGACATTAGACGGATGGGCTTTGGATCATTAGTGGGCTATTATTATGGTAAAAAATATAAGTCTTGGGCCTATGGGTTTTTTATGATAGAAAATCATACTAGTATTTAATTTAATTTTGTAACATATTTATTTTTATTTAATTTCTGCTAGTTTCATGCTGGTTGGGATGAATAATTGTTATAATCGTTACTAGAAAATATCAAAAACAATTTTATACTAAAACTATATAAAAGAAAGAAATGTCCAATTTTTGGTATCTCTCTCGGAACATATACCCCATTGAAACTCCTTTAAATCCCTTATATTCCACTGAAACCATATTGTGAAGGTTCACGAGAATTAAGTTCTCATGTAATTATAGATAGTTGTATCTTAAATTCAGATGTTCCTTAACTATTGTATGAATACAGACGAAATTTCGTCTCAGGATACTGCATTCTGCAGGCCTTTATCTGTATTTGATGCTTGCAATTCTACTTTAGGTAAGTATTTATGTTTATGTTTATTGTTTTCATCTAATTAAGGCTCGTATTTGGATATTTTGTACTATTATGTAATATATGTTCTAACAATTTACTTGTTTGACAATTGATCATCGATTTGTCAGCACTAAATTAAATTAGATGGAACTGAACAAGCAATCTAAAGCTAGTTTTGTTGTTGAGAATAGAAATAACATTCATGTCTTTTACATATATAAGGCTATGAGGTGTGACTTGCCGTAACAACTGCATTAAGCCTACCTCGTTACGGTGGATCACAACGAACGCTTAGACCGGTCAATGGGCGGGTTTGGAGTGAATCATCATTGATCCAAACCCTTTAAAAAAATTTAAAACATTGCCCTTCCTGTTCCAATAACCCTCAGGGTTTTGAATAATCGAATCCATACTCGTATCCACCGAATCAACGAATACCCAACCCATTAACCCGACCCTTTTACAATATTAAAAATTTCACAATTTTGATGTGTGCCATAAAATAATATTTGTCAAAAAAGATAAAATATCTACGCAAACAAAATATACATTACTTAATACTCAAAATCCAATACAATAAGAATTACATTTTACTTAGACATAGAGTTGCATACTTGTTGTCATATATATATATATATATATATATATATATATATATATATATATATATATATAAATGGGGCGGGTTTTAAGTGGAGTGAATCGACAATGATTCATAGTCAACCCATTTTAATATAAGGGTATGGGTCGTAATCGGGTATACAAATCGAAAATTAAAATTTAAACTCATAAAATTCTCACGGGTTTGAAGCGAATCAGGGTCAAAACCCGCTCTATTGACAGGTCTATGAACACCGCCCTTTTATATATCACCACACCCAACCTCTTCTCTTTCTTTCTCTCTTCTGAATCCTCAATTAGTTCCCTTAACGAAAGTGAGAGGTGATCATTTCCTAGGTAAAAAGAAAGTGAAAGGATAATAAAAGAAAGTGATGTGGGGGATCAAGGTGGTAGAGAGAAATTTTTGTCCAACCTTTTATCATTCTTTTGTTGATTGACATCAATCTCATGCTTATCCTTGATAACTATGGGAACTTATAATTTGAAAGCTCGTTTTGTACCAACGCCTACAGGTTTCATTCTTTGTACGTGCTACACTGCTGATTATATAATAATAATAACATGCAACTAATATCATTATTTATGTCTTATGAGAACAAATATGAACAAGGATGGAACGAACAAGTGAATAGCCAAATACGATATAACATCTAAAATTCTATCTCTACAACAAAACATTCACACAATTACATACAAAGCTTCCTCTCTATAACCGGTTCTTGTAATGGCAGTTTTGATCTGCAATTCTTCTATTCAATATATCGATTTTCAAATTGCAGGTCGAAGTAGAGACAACATGAATGTTGAACAAATTCAGTACACGAACTTTACCAGAGATTCTAGTATAAGTTGACAAAGGCAAGTTCCCATTGATAACATCACCATAGATGTCCAAATCCGTCGCCAATCGATCCACAAAAACAGTCACCGTCAGATTCAACTGTTTGGTATCGCCGCCACCAATCATTCCGGCAGGGATAGGAACGTCGCCGATGTCTTTGCCTTTGTACCGGACAGCGGTGGAGCTGTTCCTGTACTTGATGCCGACTTTGTTAGGATTCTTGACGGAGATAGATATGTCAAGGGAGACGTTCACAGAAACCATCGGCGGGATGAGGTTGACAGAAGCGTTTACATCTTTGAGGACGACGGAGTCAACGGTGGTGACAGGCTTTTTGGATTTGAAGACGGTGAGAGCTAGAATCAGAATGAGGAGACCAACAGCAAACACACAGATAGTTACTGATAAACAGATACATCTCCGGCGTTTGTGGCACCGGGAACGTTGATCGTCGCCGGGTATGGCGCTGAGGATATCTTGAGCTTCGTTTTTTCTTTTGACATGCATTTTTGTGAGAACTTTATATGAACCAGTAACATGGGACATAACCACCTCGGGCTCCTTAAATATAGGCTTAATTAATTAACTGCATGCTCTTTATGTGCTTTTTTCCTAAATAAAACCATATTGTTTTTCCGTTTCCAAAAAAAAAAACCATATTGTTTTTATCGTATGTTATTTGATACATTGTTATTGATAAAATTATATATTCAAATCTTGATACATTAACTTGTTGAGTTTATAAAAGAGAAACTACTTTATAACAATGTCAAACTAAATAAATTTAAATTGATGTCAAAAGCATTATTTGAATATATTTTATAAGCATGTATATCATTATATTAATTTGGACAAAATAATAATTATAACATTTTGTACAACTAAAACTATTAGTACTGAAAGTTTATAAATAAAACACATATTATGTTTAAAATAGCCAATTTGAAATGAAATCATATTGATGCTAATTTGAAATAGGATTATTGTCACTATAGCCAACAAACTTATCATTTTTGTTTTAAAATGTATCTCATTATTTATTTATTATTTTTTTTTTGCATTCTAAGGGCATAAAGTTATTATTAACATGTTTATTTAGTCACTTTGACCCATTGTAGTCGGTATTTGTTCGAGGATAACAAAAGAGAGTCATTTTCATTAAATGACATGGTTGCCACATAGGATTATGACACTATCTCCCTCCACCTGATTGTAGTCGGTATTTGGGAGCAACCTTCTCCATACCTTGTGCTCCAGACTCTATCTCCCTCCACCCGATTTGGATTTCATTGATGTTTATCAACCCTGGTGGATAAACAAGCTCTAGATGCAATTGTGATAGTGGCGACTACGACTGGGTTAATCGCCGACGTTACTATCACATGGAGAGGACCGGACCCAACGGTGGCACTGGCAACGATTATCCATTTCGTGCGCTGAAAGTGAGGCGGTTTTCAGTGGAGGTTCGTGAGTTTCAAGCCAAATCGAGGGGTATCGACTATGCGAAGAAGAGGAAATGCCTTAAGCAGCAACAATAGCGAGAAGATTAATAGGAGCAGGTTTTTCGAGACATGTGATTAAATATTTGTTCTTCTTTGTTTGCAAAAGATACATTCTTAGGATTTGGATCCGTAACTGAAAGTGAATTGAAATTTGTGTGGTCTAGTTTTCTTAATACCCCTACAAAATCTGGTAACTCCACCCCCCAAGTGTCATAAAAAACCATCCAAGATCAAAACCATAACACAAGGGAAGAAGAGTGACGACTTCAAAGAAAAGAGTTTAGCTCCAATCCTTTCAATTCATCATCGTCTTCAGCAAAACGAAGCGTCCTCTCATCAAAATCAACACATTTAAAAGCACCATCAACCAACAAACCCATTGTAATCCCAAAAACATAATCAGACAAAAAATGAGTCCATCGATAGACAAATAGAATCAAGCAAATAAATCCATCATATGATATAGCGCAAAGATTTCTAATCACAACCTGGAATATATAAATCCATCGTATTGAATATATAAATTGTGATTCACGAGTAAAGAAAGAAAATCATTGATAAAGGAGAAATTGTTTTCACAGGAACGAAAAAAAATCACGGGATGTAGATGTGTCGAATGCTGATTTGGCAGTGAAGGTGAAAGCGCCATAAATTTTATTTATGTGGTATCTGATTTTGCATGGAAACCTATTAAAACAAGTCATAGGTCCTTAATAAAGAGGTTGAAATAGACTTTATGCCCTTCAAATGCAAAAAACAAAAGAGATCGTTTAAAATAGAATCTGATAGTTGGTTGGGGCTACAATGACAATAACGATTTAAAATCATGTTGTTCAACGTGTTAAACATTTAATCATGTTATTTTTAATGAGTTGAGCCAAAGAAACTATGATATAATATATTAAGACATTTAATATTTATCAACCGAAATGCTTCTAGCCTAATGGTATTAGATGTTATATTTTATTTTTTTTTTCTTTATTTGTTTTAATATTTTTTTCGAAATCCAGAGTTCAACTCCCGTCCGAACATAGATAATGCTTAACATAGTTATTTTCGTTACTAATAATGAGTTTCTAAAAAGCAATTATTAAAAAAGCAAATGATACATTTTATTAAGATATAGAAAAAAAAATAACTATATTTTGGAAACTGGTTAAAACGTAAACCAATTAATATCCAAATTATCATTTTTAAAATTCAAACCAATTATCGAAACCGGTTAAAACGTAAATCTAGTTAATCAAAATTCAAATCACACGTTATTAGAAATGTTTTTGAAAAATTAAAATTCTTATATGATTTCCATGTATACATTATTCTTAATTATAATAACACCGGGTGTAAGACTCATGTATTACATGAGTTAATTAAAAATAAATAAATATAAATGTCTAAATATTTAAGAACTTTTGATTTATAAGAAAATTAGAAAAATAATGAATTATTAAAATTGAATTTTTTTATCTTTTAAATTTAAATAAATAAACAAAATAAACTAATAAATTTAATTTGAGAATTTTGCAATAAGAAGGTAAGTCCCTAATGAAATTGATATTCATTTATTACTACATTTACTGTAATTATTAAATTAAAGTATTATGTGGAATTTATTAAAATAGAAAAACCCATAAAATGACATGTAGAAAAAAAATTAAGTCAAAATAACCATAAAATGACATTTGACAAATTAAATTAGAGTGTGATATGTGGCAAAAAAGATCTTCATTTATTAGGATAAAAATGATTCTTGAAAAAAAAAATTCAAGTATGAGATCTACGTGCATAAAATGAAATTTTTGAAAGAGAAATTAAATATTCTCCTACTTTTGTTCCTACTTATCCTCCTATCCATATGAAAAAATGACAAGTGTCTTAAAATGTTATTAATTTTATCAAAGTTGGACACGTGTCATAATTTCATATGGGTAGGAGGATAAATAGAAATAAAAGGTAGGAAGATATTTAATTTCTCTAAAAGTATATATTCAAATCTTGTAACGCCCGCAGATTCGGGCTAGTCAATTTAGAGACGATAAGCATCAAAAATGACTTATTGATAGATGATTATTTAGAATAAATAATCTTAACTAAGTTGTAGTATATGTCACAAGGTTTCCGTACATATAAAGAACGCTGAAATCCGAGTTATAACGAAGAAGTTATGACCTGTCGAAGTTTCGCGACAAAACCGGCACGACACCGGGAATCGTAAAAAGTGAGTTTACGATAGAATACTTTTTAGCCTTAGGATTCTAAATGAAAGTTGTAGAGTACGTCTCCACCTTCGCATGGATATAAAGAGCGTAAAAAACGGAGCTCGTATGCAAAAGTTATGACATTCCGAAGATGTAGCTGTCTGAGAGCATGACACGTGTCAGAAATCATAATTTGACTGAGCTCACGACGTGAGCATGATTTCTCACGATGTGAGGAGTCAAACGGACACTAATCGAGCCTAGAAAACACATGGGAAGTCTACGGGATGACTCTTGGAAGCTCACGACGTGAGCATATCATTCTCACGACGTGAGAAGTCGTCCGGACATGTTTCAGAACTATAAACGCAGATGGAGAAGCTACGAGGTGATACAGCCATGGCCCACGACGTGAGAGGCCAAAAATCAGGCTATAAATAGCAAGTTCGACCTCAGCCATTCCTACACCTAAAATCTTCTTTCTCTCTCTCGTTTGCTGAAGGCATTCCGCTTCCCGAGCCCGACGATCATGAACCGCTGACTGTTTCTAGTTAACATGATTTTAATACAAGTATTAATTAAGATATTAAATATTTGTTGAAAGTTTATATGTCAATTATATGTTTATTGCCTGAAATATGTGTTAGATATATATTTGATGATATACGATGTGCGAACCAGTTATGGTTCTATAGTGTTAATATGTATGTATAATGATATTACATGATAACAATAATAGAAGTATTATTTCTAAGAAAGTAGATATATTAATACATAATACTTTGTGTTAATGTATACACTAGATTAGGACAGTGTTGCCTAAACAGAATTGATATTGTAAAGATTATAGTCTTTCCTAGTGATGAGATAAGACTTAAAACTTAAAAGGGATGCTTAGTTCAATTAAGTTTGGATATTGGGTAGCATCTTATTAAGGGTACGTGTGTGATGGGAACGGAGAGTAGAAGCTCGGTTCAATGAGATTGATGATCGGTGGAGTACGTCCTACGTATAGGAGTACTACATTTGTATTTCCCATCCTAAAATTCTATTCGCTGACGATAATGATGGTGATCGGTGAAGTACGGGAGCGTACGGGAATACTATATTAGTATTTTGTTGGATAAGGTGTCTAAGTCCATAACTTTATTTGGTATATACTTGACCCGACCCGGCATGGTCCATTTGGGTTGCACTTCACTCGAACTATCTGTATGGTTAAACCTTTGAGAATTGTATGTTTATGATTTGTTAATATATTATAAGTTATAATATATTAATATGAAATCATATTATTTAATTAGTATTGATCATAAATTAATTTAGAATTAATTTGGTGATAAAAAAGGTGACTAATTAAATATGGGCTCTTGTATTTATATAAGTGTGGGCTAATACTCATTTGGAATGGGCTTGGCATGCATGGGAGTCCATGGATAGTCCATGGAGCTTTTAACCCATGGATCCTTGGAAAGGAAGAGTCATGGGTATTAGGGTTTACATGGATGTAACCCTAATCCTCCACACTATATAAAGGAGCCTGTGATGCTTGAAATGGCACTAGTTGTGTGTGTGCAAGAAGGTGGCCGATTTCTATAAGCAAGCATACACTCTCATAGTTTTTCCAAGTTTGTGGTGATTTGTGATTTCCATTTGAGGTATCAATATTATTGGTGCTTGGCTCTCAAACTCCAAGGAATCAACTCACTATTGAAAGGTATGTAATTCATCTAGCTTTTATGTTTAAAGTTCCGCATGCCATGCTAGATAGGTTATGAACCTTGGAAAAACAAATTTGCATTTCTTC